ATAATAATTTTCTTTAATCAATGTTACTGGGGATTCGAACCACTCTTAAAAAAGGATAACGTTACAGCAACCAGCTACTTAGGGTATAATAGTTGGGTTGAGGCACGTCTACCATAAAAATATAAATGATGTCGAATCGTGACAATTTCTATATGAAATCAGCATTAATTTATGCATTTTTTATTTTTCACGACCAAACTACGCAACGAAAAGATCTGAAAAGATTCTCTAATTTCGAGTACCGTCTTACGAACATGTGCGAATTTTTTCAGATTTCTGGCTAAACCTTTATTAAGAGAAATATGGCAAAACCGCTAAATCTGATTAACCCCCATAAGTACCCTCCGGATTGAGACAGAGGGTTGAAAATTGGCACAAGACGTTTGCTTTGGACACTCTATCGAATGGCTTATTGCAAGTTGAATTTCCTTCAAGAGCACATTTTACCATCTTATCCGGCTTTTTATTTCTTCATTGTTATTGCAACCTGCAACTTAAAAAACATTTTCCGTTGTAGTAGATTCCCTCTGCCCCATTCAATGTGCATACATCGACTATGTAAATTGTCGAATAAACAAAAAAAAGTGAAGTGCCTGGGTTTCGAACACACGGAGCTTCGAAGGCTCCGAGCCGAGCCTGGAAGACTTCGAACCTCGAGGAGAGGAGACCGTGATTTTCAGATGCGCTCGATTCACGCAATCAGCACCGAAGTTTCCGACCTTCTTTCCGAAGATGTCCGAAGACGGCCGAATTTAAAATTCGCTTCACTGACGCATCAGCACGCACACAAATTTCATCCACTCGGCTAAAAGTGTCGATTTAAGACGCGGCCGCGGACCGATGTTTATAATAAAAAATTATTGAATAAATGTCGAATTTCATATTAAATCTGTCTTGCGTTTAATTTCATTACCCTGTGTACTTCCTGACCTGCGGTTCTGCGAGTAAAATTTGTATTTTTATATAATCAAGTTACATATTGTTAAATTAGTAGAAACATCTCCCGACTTGACATAATTAACATATATGGGAAAATGGATTTGCACGACTTTCAAAATGAACGGTCCATCTGTATTTCAGCGAACTTGCTCGTCCGTCCAAGCTATTGCGGCTATCACTCGAGCGAACGATTCCCATTCGACATATATATATATATTCCTATATCCCATCTTCATACTGCCTGGTACTGCCTATAATGTGTATATGCTACGGTGGACCTGGCCCTGATTCTAGCTTTTAGATTTCTCCTACAAAGTTTGTGCTACATGCTAAAGG